CGTTGTGCAACTCTACGGATCTCTGTGCAACTCTATGGATCTCTGTGTAACTCTATGGATCTCTGTGCAACTCTATGGATCTCTGTGTAACTCTATGGATCTCTGTGCAACTCTATGGATCTCTGTGTAACTCTATGGATCTCTGTGCAACTCTATGGATCTCTATGTAACTCTATGGATCTCTGTGCAACTCTATGGATCTCTGTGCAACTCTATGGATCTCTGTGCAACTCTATGGATCTCTGTGCAGCTCTATGGATCTCTGTGCAACTCTATGGATCTCTGTGCAACTCTATGGATCTCTGTGTAACTCTATGGATCTCTGTGTAACTCTATGGGTCTTTATGTAAATCTATGGATCTCTGTGTAACTCTATAAATCTCTGTGTAACTCTATGGATCTCTGTGTAACTCTACGGATCTCTGTGCAACTCTATGGATCTCTGTGCAACTCTATGGATCTCTGTGTAACTCTATGGATCTCTATGTAACTCTACGGATCTCTGTGTAACTCTATGGATCGCTGTGCAACTCTATGGATCTCTGTGTAACTCTATGGATCTCTGTGCAACTCTATGGATCTCTGTGTAACTCTATGGGTCTCTATGTAACTCTATGGATCTCTGTGTAACTCTTTGGGTCTCTATGTAACTCTATGGATCTCTGTGCAACTCTTTGGATATTTGTGTAACTCTATGGTTCTTTGTGTAACTCTATGGACCTTTGTGCAACTCTATGAATCTCTGTGTAACTCTATGGACCTTTGTGTAACTCTATGGATCTCTGTGTAACTCTATGGATCTCTGTGCAACTCTATGGATCTCTGTGTAACTCTATGATCTCTGTGCAACTCTATGGATCTCTGTGCAACTCTATGGATCTCTGTGCAACTCTATGGATCTCTGTGCAACTCTATGGATCTCTGTGTAACTCGATGGGTCTTTGTGCAACTCTACGGATCTCTGTGCAACTCTATGGATCTCTGTGTAACTCTATGGATCTCTGTGCAACTCTATGGATCTCTGTGTAACTCTATGGATCTCTGTGCAACTCTATGGATCTCTGTGTAACTCTATGGATCTCTGTGCAACTCTATGGATCTCTATGTAACTCTATGGATCTCTGTGCAACTCTATGGATCTCTGTGCAACTCTATGGATCTCTGTGCAACTCTATGGATCTCTGTGCAGCTCTATGGATCTCTGTGCAACTCTATGGATCTCTGTGCAACTCTATGGATCTCTGTGTAACTCTATGGATCTCTGTGTAACTCTATGGGTCTTTATGTAAATCTATGGATCTCTGTGTAACTCTATAAATCTCTGTGTAACTCTATGGATCTCTGTGTAACTCTACGGATCTCTGTGCAACTCTATGGATCTCTGTGCAACTCTATGGATCTCTGTGTAACTCTATGGATCTCTATGTAACTCTACGGATCTCTGTGTAACTCTATGGATCTCTGTGCAACTCTATGGATCTCTGTGTAACTCTATGGATCTCTGTGCAACTCTATGGATCTCTGTGTAACTCTATGGGTCTCTATGTAACTCTATGGATCTCTGTGTAACTCTTTGGGTCTCTATGTAACTCTATGGATCTCTGTGCAACTCTTTGGATATTTGTGTAACTCTATGGTTCTTTGTGTAACTCTATGGACCTTTGTGCAACTCTATGAATCTCTGTGTAACTCTATGGACCTTTGTGTAACTCTATGGATCTCTGTGTAACTCTATGGATCTCTGTGTAGCTCCCCGGATCTCTGTGTAACCCTGTGGATCTCTGTGTAACTCTATGGACCTTTGTGTAACTCTATGGATCTCTGTGTAACTCTACGGATCTCTGTGTAACTCTATGGATCTCTGTGTAACTCTATGGATCTCTGTGTAATTCTATGCAATATGCGTAACTCTATGAATCTCTGTGTAACTCTATGGATCTCTGTGCAATTCTATGAATCTCTGTGCAACTCTATGAATCTCTGTGCAACTCTATGAATCTCGTTGCAACTCTATGAATCTCTATGCAACTTTATGAATATCTGTGCAACTCTATGAATCTCTGTGCAACACTATGAATCTCTGTGCAACTCTATGAATCTCATTGCAACTCTATGAATCTCTATGCAACTCTATGAATCTCTGTGCAACTCTATGAATCTCTTTGCAACTCTATGAATCTCTATGCAACTTTATGAATATCTGTGCAACACTATGAATCTCTGTGCAACTCTATGAATCTCGTTGCAACTCTATGAATCTCTATGCAACTTTATGAATATCTGTGCAACTCTATGAATCTCTGTGCAACTCTATGAATCTCTGTGCAACTCTATGAATCTCGTTGCAACTCTATGAATCTCTATGCAACTCTATGAATCTCTGTGCAACTCTATGAATCTCTGTGCAACTCTATGAATCTCGTTGCAACTCTATGGATCTTTGTGTAAATCTAAGTAACTGCAATATCCCAGAATGCAACTGCCGGCACTCTGTGGCTGTGGTCGCCCGCGTGTAACAGAGCTGCCACGCTCAGCCGATGTAATAAAGTCATCGTCTGTATTATTTTGGTCTCAGTGCATTGCATCCCACCTCTGCTCGCGTTAATGTACACAAAGACAAAGATCCCCCGTGTATTGTTGATCATGAGATTGTCTTCTCCGATTCCAAGGTTCTCTGTAAACCTACAGGTTATCGCCAGAGATTTGTCTACGAAGCCATTCAGATATACAGACACAGACATAACTTCAACCGAGAGGATGGTTTCAAATTAAGCAACCATTGGAAAGACGTTTTAAATCATACCAAACGTCAACTAATTTCTAACAGCAATTTCAAGTAATGGTATACCAAGCATATTCCTTCCGAACTTTCTATTAAACCATTTTTTCTACTCTCCCCTGACAGCACATTCTTGCCGATCTTTAATTGTTTTTCCGTTTCTATTGCACACACACAGTGACCCATCCTCTGCACCATCTACACAAAAACATGCTAATCCCCCAGCTAATGTTCTGACTGTAACACCCTGTTGCCTCAACACTTTAACACAGCTATTTCTGATATGTAAACTCCTTTGTCAAGGTGCCCTGCTCCTCCCACCGAGCTTTAAAGACGCTGCGAATCTTAGCAGCGGTCATTGAAGCTCTGTCGTCCCGACAGTTCTGTTCCTTCACCTGAAGAAGAAGGCCACTTGTGTTGTGGCCGAAACGTCGTGATTTTTGTTGTTTTATTTCTTACCTACGTGACTTTACCGAATAGAACCAAAGAGTATCCCCCGTGTAGCCTGTAACAGACTGCAGGGGCAAGTGCTGTTAGCGAGCACCTATGAAGGCCAGAACGGCACACGAGGGGGTGGGTGGCCAGCACCACGCCCGGCCGCCTTTGTCTCCCCAGTGGCGATGTTTACTACACACCGCACCAGGTACTCATTTGAGGCTGAGTCGACCTAGGGGAGGCCCAGGACCGGTTCAGATAATCGTCACTGATTTTCGGCCGTGAGCGGGAATCGAACTCGTGTCGCCAGGTTCGTAGTGCAGCGTAGCGCTAACCGCTACACGTGTACACACACGCGGTGGTGTAGCAGTTAGCGCAGCGCTGCACTACCAGCCCCGGTGACCTGAGTTCGATTCCCGCTCACGGCCCAAAACCAGTGACGATTATCTGAACCGGTCCTGGGCCTTCCCTAGGTCGACTCAGCCTCAAATTAGTTCCTGGTGCGGTGCGTAAACATCGCCGTGAGGGAGACAAAGGCGGTCGGGCGTGGAGCTGGCCACCCAACACCCCTCGAGCGCCGTTCCGGCCTTCATAGGTGCTCGCTAACAGCACTTGCCCCTACAGTCTGTTAAGGGGCCGTCCATAAATGACGTCACGCGATTTTGGACGATTTTGTACCCCCCCCTCGTCACAAAAAGTCAGATTCCCCTCAAATATGACGTCACAAAGCTCTGCCCCCCCCCCCCCCCCAAATAAAACATGCTTCAAATCGCTTTAAACTATTGCCATTGTAGTGACGATGTATGACGATGGGGGGGGGGAGGGGGGGTTTGAGAAATGTGACGTCACATCAAAATGGGCAACTTTAAATAAATATAGACACAACACGTTCTACTTAATGAAATAGACTTTAAAATAAATGTTTTCTCCTACAACATCAGAGTGTAGCGCCACATTAAATACGCAGTACAATGTCAATAGTTTAAAGCGATTTGAAGCATGTTTTTTTGAAGGGGGGGGGGCAGAGCTTTGTAATGTCATGTTTGAGGGGGGTCTGACTTTTGTGATGCCGTGTGACGATGGGGGGGGAGGATAAAAAATCGTCCAAAATCGCGTGACGTCATTTATGGACGGCCCCATATGCGCCCCAAGAGCGCCGGACATGACAATTTACGGAAACTTTGTAAGTCCACTTGATTCACCCAGATGTCTACATATTCACACAGAGACCCATATGCTCGCACAGAGACCCATAGACTCACGCATAGACCCATAGTCTCACACAGAGATCCATAGGCTCACACAGAGAACCACAGACTCATACAGAGGCCCATAGGCTCGCACAGAGACCCATAGACTCACACAGAGAGACCCATAGACTCACACGGAGACCCATAGACTCGCACTGAGACCCATAGACTCACACATAGAGACCCATAGACTCACAGAGAGGCCCATCGACTCATACAGAGACCCATAGACTCACACACAGAGACCCATAGACTCACACAGAGACCCATAGACTCACACAGAGACCCATAGACTCACACAGAGACCCATAGACTCACAGAGAGTCCCATCGACTCATACAGAGACCCACAGACTCTCAAAGAGACCCATAGGCTCACACAGAGACCCATAGACTCACACAGAGACCCAGAATGACACGGTGGAGCGTGGAGTGCCTGTGGGAACGCCGCAGCGAACCCGGTTCACCCGCCAGGGCGATGTGTCTCTCCCTGTGTCCCTCTCGTGACGCCGCTCTCTCTCTCTGTTTTCCCCGCAGACGAACTCGCCGCCCGTGATCGTGAGCACTGACACCTTGGACTCGTCGCCATACGTGAGTAAACGCCTCCCCCGGGGCCGTCGCCACCTGCATGGAGGGAAATCCGCAGCCGTTTCGAACGCAGCGGCGGCCGCCCTCGGTTCAACGCCTGATAGTGGCATTGTCCTAGTGCTGCCTTCGCCCTTTGGCGTCGTCCTCTGGTCTGACACCGCTTGAGACGAGGCTCTCAAGTAAGTTGTCTCTGGGTGTGGACCAATCAGTTTCAAAGACGATGCATCATCATAGACTACCAGAGCGTGTGTGTTTTTTTTTTATTTGCATGTTCATCACAAGTGCGTGTGTGGCTAATGCAGACGCGATTCCTTACAAAAGGTTGCAGTTTGGTGCTTTAACATCTGAACACAACTGTTTTATTGCCAGAAAGGGTAAACACCAATTCCTATATTTTGATAGTGGCAAGGGGAGGTCCCCCACGATGTAGCTGCTCAAACCCGAGCTCTCAAAGTCCTCACAGTGGCATTGTCCTAGTGCTGCCTTCGCCTTTTGGCGTCGTCCTCTGGTCTGACACGGACTTGAGACGAGGCTCCAAAGAAAGCTGTCTCTGGGTGTGGACCAATCAGCTTCAAAGACGATGCATCGTCACACGTTCACCGCAAGTACGTGCGGTTGACGCGGACGCGATTCCTCGCTAAAGGTTTCAGTTTGGTACTTTGACATCTCAACACGACTGGTTTTTTTTTTATTGCCGGAAAGGGTGAAAACCGGTCATGTTTAGCCGTAAAAACAACTACACTGTGGCTCGCTCCAACAAAGGAGACAACGGAGGGGCGGTGGGGGGGGGGGGGGGGTGGGTAATGACGCGCGCCTTCGGCCTTTTCCGCGCACGTTAAAGATCCGCCGGCGGTGGCGTCGCGCGCGCGAGGGTGATGCCCCCTGGGCCGCTGGCTCGACGGTTCAAACATTTGGCGAGTCGGTTTTTTTTTGTGTTGCAACGGTTTCACTTAACGCCTCTGTTTGTTCGTGGCCAAATCTTGTAATGAAAAGTTAGTCCACTTCCCGTTGTGCAATCAATCCCTAATTTTGCACGCGTGCTCAGATCCGGTGACGATGCATGCCTGTACCAAGATCGGCATCAATTAATCAGTTAATTGCCTCCTTTCAAGCAATGAAAAAAAAATCATGGGCGGCATATTAATAATTCTATTATTTTTGTGTACGTGAAAAACGCCGCGGTTCCTAAACTGTGGAATCGGCTCGCACAAAAAGCAGGCGCCACGTGTCTCGAGTCATCAAGATGTCCATACTCAACGCTGTCCTCATGACAGCACGGTCCCTTCACCTGATGAAGGCCACTTGTGGTGTGGCCGAAACGTCGTGATTTTGGTTATTTTATTTTTTACCTGCGTGACTTTACCGAAAAGAACCAAAGAGTATGGACATACTCTTTGGTTCTTTCAGTAAAGTCACGTAGGTAAGAAATAAAACAAAACAAATCACTATTTTATTTTATTTCTACCTACGTGACTTTACCACGAGAAACCAAAGAGTATGGATTCCTGCAGTCACGAAAGCTTCAAATCAAGATCGGTGTATTTGTTTATACTGGAGGAATCCGATGTAGCTGTAAAAAGCTCTCTTTTTGTTCAGAGATCTCCAGCAAGGGGTGGACAATATTGTTGGAACAACAATCATTACAAAAACACGATAGTCGTGCAAACCACAAGAAAGTTAAACAGATCACCCGAAACACATGCGAATACAGCTAAACCATCCCCATCCAACCAGGCAAAGCCCACTGAGGTTACTCTTTGGTTCTATTCGGTAAAGTCACGTAGGTAAAAAAATAAAACAACAAAAATCACGACGTTTCGGCCACAACACAAGCGGCCTTCATCAGGTGAAGGGACCAGACTGTCTTGAGGACAGCGCTGGAGTGAAACACAGCCAAGCTCAGACCGCGACCTTTAAGCTGTGTGAGAGTAATCAAGGTGCCTTGACAAAGGAATTAGCATAAAAATTTGAATTTTAATAGGCGGACTTAGCATGATGAAAGATAGGGAGGGGGTCGACCTGTGCAGGCTGGCGAGGGGGCACGGCAGCGTCCACATGCTGGTGGTGTGAAAAGGGGATTTTAAGAAGCTGCGAAAGTTTGGGGTACCACTACTTGAAAAATATACTGTACCATTGAAAAATTAGTTTAATGTTTGGTTCGATTTAGAACATCTTTCCAATGGTTGCTTAATTTGAAACCATCTTCTCGGTTGAAATTGTGTCTGTGGCCGAAACGTCGTGATTTTTGTTTTATTTTTTTACCTACGTGACTTTACCGAATAGAACCAAAGAGTATGGATCCTTGCAGTCACGAAAGCTTCAAATCTAGAACCCATTGAGGTTATTCAAATATTTATACGAAGGAGACATCACAGCGATACGCGGTTATCCGGGCTTGATCACCTGAATGTGACACTGTTAGTCGTCGCTCTGCATCTCCATCGTCAGCCGTACAAAGGAAGACGGAGGCTGCACCCTACATCTGAGAGTTGCCAGGGCTCTCGTGAGTAAGAGTCGCGAGACTCGGTAAAGCTTTCGAACAAGCGGAGTCATTTTCCGGCCAGCTAGCTGCTACAGCGGCAGAGTGAGCGGTTCTCAGTCGCAAAGGTTACGAGTTCACATCCCGCTTGGGAAGGGTAGGATCAGCCCATCATCATCATCATCATCTCTCCCGGGGTCGATAAATGAGGACAACTCCACGTGGAAAGCCTCGGCACACCCCGGGAGGGAGTGACCACCGACGCACTTGCGGCGATTTCGTCTTCATTTTCCGCTCGCGCTGCAGAAAGGAACAAAAAACTCTTCCCCCCCCCCCTAACTCCGACCCCTACCCCCTACCCCCTGCCCCCCGACCCACCGCTTCAATCGACCTGAAAACATCCATCTCGGAGCGATCGCTTCCAACGGCCGTGGATAAATTATCGCTGCCCTCCCTCCACTCACTCCCTCCAACCCTCCAATCCCTCCCTCCCTCCACTCCCTCCCTCCATACAGAGAATGAACAAGGGAGAGGGGGGGGGCACGGATTTTTTTTTAAATAAAAATCCGCCGCGCCGTACTGAATGGGTGCAGCCCAGCAGGTTTCAGGCTTCCGTGACAGGTTTCAGGTTTAGTTTCTTCGGCGCTTTGCTGAAGGAGGGGGGTGGCGGGGGCCCCTGTCCACCGCTAAGTCTCCACGAGGATCCACGCCTCGTTTTTTTTGGGATGAAACGTGGGGCGCGCGGCCACGACCACCATGACCACCATGACCACCACGTGGTGGTGGTGGTGGTACGTCGCTCGATCTTCCCTGTCTCTCTCTTGCCCATCGATTTTCTCCCACTTGCTCTCTCCCGCTTGCTCGCTCTCTCTCTCTCTCGCTCTCTCTCTCTCTCGGTCAGTCGTGGAGTTTGTCCGCTGTGTTTGCGCGTTCACTTTTCGCCGCAAACGGGGGGGGGGAGGAGGTGATGGTGGGCGTGGATTTGCCAACGAAGCTGTGGCGAGCCGGAGGAACGAGGGAGCTCACAATCAGACATCAGAATATTTGTCTGCACCGGAAGAATCCGATGTCACAACAACAAACTGTACAAAAACACGAATTGAGTGCCAAGTACAATCAAGAGTAAACAAATCACCCGAAACGCGTACGAATACGACGAAAACATCCGCCGTCCTAACAGGCAAAGCACGCTGAGGTTTTAACTTCGCCAACGAAGTGGCTTATGGCACGGACACTTCGAGCGGCCAAATACTCTCAACGCATTGCAGCAACGTCGCCCGGAACGTCGCCCGAAACGTCACGGAAACCCAGCAGCACCCCTCCTGGACATTTTTACTTTCTCCGAGACTCGGCGAGGCTTCCTCGGAAGCGAGGGTGGCCTCCGGCCACGCGAATGCTCAATTTCCACCAAAAACAAGCGTGCTCATAACAACAACAAACAACAACAAAGAACGACGCTCACGAACTAACGATCTGCGATGTTTATTTTTTGTATGTTTTTATGCAGCTGAACGGGACGGACGTGGACTACGAATATGAGGAGATCACGCTGGAGAGAGTAAGTTTGGACGTTGGTCGTTCCGCCGACCTTTGCACCCGAGACGAACGTCCACGCACACGGCCCCAGGGCCGCCAGGAACGCTTTGGAGTGTCCGTGCGTGCGTGCGTTTGCGTGCGTATGCATACGCGCGCAAACGCACGGATATGTGTGGGAGCGGGAGTGCGGCGGTTAGCGCTACGCTGCGCTACGAACCCCGTCCACAAGAGTTCGACTGCCGCTCATGGTCAACACCGGTGACAATTATCTGAACCGGTCCTGGGCCTCCGCGAGGCCCACTGAGCCTCAAATGAGTACCCAGGGTGCGGTGCGAAAACAACTCTCGCCACTGGGGGAGACAAAGGCGGCCGGGCGTGTTGCTGGCCACCCACCCCCTCGAGTGCCGTTCCGGCCTTCATAGTGTGCTCGCTAACAGCACCTGCCACAACAGCCTGTTACAGGCTACACGGGGGATCTTTGTCTTTATGCACTGGCTGGCCACAAAGTGTCTTTGCGTGAGGAAACAGATAACGTTCGTCTGTTCCGACAGCTCCGTGTGGTTGCCCCTCCATTCTCATTTGCGGTGCCCCATGCATTTCCCGGGGAGATTCTTCAGAGCGGGCTTTGGCGACGAACTGCAGGAGCAGTGCCGCACGGCTGTTTGGAGTCTCTCGGTGTTTGTTGATCTTTACGTGTGAGGGATTCTGCTTGATGCCCCCGAAGGGAGGAATTGTAACCACGCTGTCTACCAGGGACCATTTGCTTCCAGTAAGGTGGTGAGCGTCAGTTTGAATTTAGACGGGAGAGTGGTGAGCGTCAGGGTGAATTTAGACGGGAGAGTGGTGAGCGTCAGGGTGAATTTAGACGGGAGAGTGGTGAGCGTCAGGGTGAATTTAGACGGTAGAGTGGTGTCAGGGTGAATTTAGACGGGAGAGTGGTGAGGGTCAGGGTGAATTTAGACGGGAGAGTGGTGAGCGTCAGGGTGAATTTAGACGGGAGAGTGGTGAGCGTCAGGGTGAATTTAGACGGGAGAGTGGTGAGGGTCAGGGTGAATTTAGACGGGAGAGTGGTGAGCGTCAGGGTGAATTTAGACGGGAGAGTGGTGAGCGTCAGGGTGAATTTAGACGGGAGAGTGGTGAGCGTCAGGGTGAATTTAGACGGGAGAGTGGTGAGTGTCAGGGTGAATTTAGATGGGAGAGTGGTGAGGGTCAGGGCGAATTTAGACGGGAGAGTGGTGAGGGTCAGGGTGAATTTAGACGGGAGAGTGGTGAGCGTCAGGGTGAATTTAGACGGGAGAGTGGTGAGCGTCAGGGTGAATTTAGACGGGAGAATGGTGAGCGTCAGGGTGAATTTAGACGGGAGAGTGGTGAGGGTCAGGGTGAATTTAGACGGGAGAGTGGTGAGCGTCAGGGTGAATTTAGACGGGAGAGTGGTGAGCGTCAGGGTGAATTTAGACGGGAGAGTGGTGAGCGTCAGGGTGAATTTAGACGGGAGAGTGGTGAGCGTCAGGGTGAATTTAGACGGGAGAGTGGTGAGCGTCAGGGTGAATTTAGACGGGAGAGTGGTGCGCGTCAGGGTGAATTTAGACGGGAGAGTGGTGAGCGTTAGGGTGAATTTAGACGGGAGAGTGGTGAGCGTCAGGGTGAATTTAGACGGGAGAGTGGTGAGCGTTAGGGTGAATTTAGATGGGAGAGTGGTGAGCGTTAGGGTGAATTTAGACCGGAGAGTGGTGAGGGTCAGGGCGAATTTAGACGGGAGAGTGGTGAGGGTCAGGGTGAATTTAGACGGGAGAGTGGTGAGCGTCAGGGTGAATTTAGACGGGAGAGTGGTGAGCGTCAGGGTGAATTTAGACGGGAGAGTGGTGAGCGTCAGGGTGAATTTAGACGGGAGAGTGGTGTCAGGGTGAATTTAGACGGGAGAGTGGTGAGGGTCAGGGTGAATTTAGACGGGAGAGTGGTGAGCGTCAGGGTGAATTTAGACGGGAGAGTGGTGAGTGTCAGGGTGAATTTAGACGGGAGAGTGGTGTCAGGGTGAATTTAGATGGGAGAGTGGTGTCAGGGTGAATTTAGATGGGAGAGTGGTGAGCGTCAGGGTGAATTTAGACGGGAGAGTGGTGAGCGTCAGGGTGAATTTAGACGGGAGAGTGGTGAGCGTCAGGGTGAATTTAGACGGGAGGTGTCACATGGCCGCATTTGGAGGAAACGGGCTGCCCTCTTAAGTCCCTCTCGTATCGGACTGCGACGCCTTTTTGCTGATGCCCCCACACCCCCTCCACCCACCACCCCCCCCCCCCCCCGGTGGTGAATTGTCACCTGCAGGGGAACTCTGGGCTTGGATTCAGCATAGCGGGGGGCACGGACAACCCACACATCGGGGACGACCCCAGCATCTACATCACCAAGATCATCCCAGGGGGTGCCGCGGCACAAGACGGGCGACTCAGGTGAGGCCCACGCTTACCATAATGATTCTTCATTTTGTTGTTGTTTAGCACGGTCGGCTACGTACGGTGCGAAAGAAGTTCAACATAGTGCACACGATAGAGGTTTATTTTTTGGGGGGTTCGTGGGACTATCGTTTTTCATCGAAAAAGAATTGATAGTACACTGCAAGCATGATGAGTGCAATGTTAATAGCTTCAAAAAAGTCAACAGAGTCTCTCCACTCGTTCGCCATCGTTGTCAACACGTGGCCTGGAATCTTCTCCCGGTGGTCTACAGAGCCCGGAGGCAGCGGCACACTTCTTGCGGTGTCGTTGCAAATTCTCAGAAGTGTTCACATTTTGTTTTTTAAAGCACCCTGTATATTACACACGTCGTGCGAACCCGCCACCACCACCATCACCCGACACAACCGATTGGCAAAGCGCTTGCCACGTAAAAAAAAAGTGCCAATTAGTCAACTTAGTTCAGGACTAACCGGTCGTGTGTTGGAGAGTAAAAACACGCGACATTTACAATTCGAGGACCGTGGCATCTCGCAGGTAATTACGACCAGCGTCATCAGGTGACAGCCAGAATTATGGAGAAATCCTCCTTTTTTCGGTCTTTTTTATAATATATATTAATGTTTTATTGTCATTCAAGACCCAGAAAACAACATAGGAGGGTGGGAAAGGGATGGTGGGCGGACGTGCTTATCAACATCCTATCGGGAGTGTGACTGTGTGGGGAGCGGTAGTGTAGTAGTTAGCGCGCTGCCCTACGAACCTGGTGACCCGGGTTCGATTCCTGCTCACGGTCGCCACAATTGGCGATTATCTGAACCGGTTCTGGGCCTCCTCTAGGTCGACTCAGCCTCAAATGAGTACCTGATGCGGTGTGTTGTCAATATCACCACTAGAGAGACAAAGGCGGCCGGGCGTGGTGCTAGCCACCCACCCCCTCGTGTGCCGTTCTGGCCTTCATAGGTGCTCGCTAAGAGCACTTGCCCCAACAGTTTCTTAAGGCATTACTGGGGATCTTTGTGTTTGTAGGTGTGTCGGGATGTATGTGGAGAGCGGTGGGCACATTGGTTAACGCGCTGCGCTATGAGTATGAACCCGGCGTCCCGAGTTCGATTCCCGCTCACGGCCAATACCGGTAACTCAGCCTCAATAATTAGTATTTGGTGCGGTGTGTAGTAAACATCGCCACTGGGGGGACAAAGGCGATCGGGCGTGGCGCTGGCTACCCACGCCCTCGTGTACCGTGCCGGCCTTCATAGGTGCTACTTACTAACAGCACTTGCCCCAACAGTCTGTTGGGGCTATATGGGGGGGGGGGGGGTCTTTGCCTTTCTGTTGGCACATAAGGGGGCACAGGTGGTGCATCGGCCAGTCATCTCAGTCAGTCAACCCCATGGCACCACCTGGGGCTGTCCCGTGACCTCCTGCCAGCGAACCCTCGACACTTCACGTGGTCACAAAGTGCCAGGTCGCTTCTGAAAAGAGAGCTTTATATCTTACCTAGTAAAATAAAATAAACATAGTCAATGTATAAAATTAATGTACGGCGTTGCACAAGAATGACGCTACATGAAATGAAAGTATTATTATTATCAAATCTAGGACGGATGCCCTTTCTTTCCGAGTGCAAAATTCTTGTGAGAGAACCAACGCCGAAGAGTTCGTATGTGGAGAGCGGTCCACCTCTATACCACGTCCACTGCACAAACCGTGGCAGCGGCAGATGAGACCTGATGATGCACAAATGGAGATCCAACGCAGATCCCTGGGTGCGATCGTCCACGAAGCTGCTCACGGTCCACCTCTAAACCGTGTCCACTGGACACAAACCGTGGCGGTAGATGCGGATGATACCTGTGGCTACTGTGGTCGTCCTGAACAGGGACCGTAACGCTACCTGACCTAAAAATACGAAGGAGACATCGTAGCGACGGCGATACACTACTACTCCGCTTGCCCCTGACGACGCAGTTACCTGTCTGGGCTTTGACCACCCGAGTGTGAAATTGTGGTCCGTCGCTCTGCGTCGACATCATCAGCAGCCGTACGACGACAATGACGAAGAAGTGCACAGTCGCCGGTCTCTACGCTAGAGGGCAGTCGACGCGTTGTCCGTTTTCAAATCTCGGGTGTTGGCATTGGGGCTCGGGCCAGGCCACAGAGCCGGAGTCCTCCGATTCTTGTTTTTTTTTTTAGAGAGAATTAAATAGAGTCACGTAGAAGGGAAACAATAAAATAATAAAAATATAAAACACAAGCAATCATCATCAGGTGTGAAAATTGTGTTGCAGTCGAAACGTCGTGAGAATTTTATTGTTTTATATTTTTATTATTTTATTGTTTTCCCTTCTACGTGGTGACTTTACCGAAAGAACCAAGAATATGAATCCCTGCAGTCACGAAAGCTTTAAATAAAAATTAAATAGACGTTACCAGACATCTGGCCCACCAACACCCCATGTAATATTATTTCGCTCCACTCTCGTGCCCTCTCCTGTGCCCCCCCCCCCCCCCCCCCCCCCATTGTGTGTCCACGCTTCGTCTTCATAGGCCCTCCGTCTAGATATTTGTCCGTCCTGCCCGCGGACAGCAGCATCTACGTGACAAACCATAAAAAATACCGGGTTAATGGTAATCTGGGCGAGTTAATCGCCGGATTAATCGTATTTTGGGCGGGTCAATTGCCCTGTCGAGTCTCGTTGGCAATCAATCCACGGATCTTGTTAATGGTTGTAGCACAGCAGAATATATCGGCACTATCATCAATTGCCGATTAATCGACACGGCGATTTAAAACTCGCAAGTGACCATGAACCCAGCGATTTTTAATAGGCCAATTACGATGATATTTACACGATCCGACACCTTTGTTTTTAACGTAACAATAAAAGCGGACTGCGACGGAATCGCCGATCTCGCTGACATTCAGCCAATCAAATGATCATCACTCGATCCACGGATTTATTGGCAATAGCGTCGACACGGAGATCAAACCCGCAAAATGATGATTAACCCCTTTATTTTTCCAAAAAATTGACTCATATATATATTTTTTATTCCACATCCTCCCTCGCATCATACAACGTCCCGGATATTCTGGAGCGGCATTACTCACCGGGAGGGGGGTTGAGGTTCACCAGGTCATTGCCATTCTGGGCTCAGTTATTGAAGACTGGCCGAAGGTTTAGGAATGGACAGCCCAATGTGAGTGCGGTATTCTTCATCACTGCCTCTGAGCTCACAGCTTGGATGCTCCAGTGCTGAGATTGGGCAATTAATCCCGATTAAAGAAATATTTTTTTACGTTTGTTTCTCATGGATAGACTGAGCGGGGATCGATGCGATTCGTCGCGATTGATAATCCACAGTGACCATATATTGGGAGGGGTGGGCGAAATCTCTGATCCGTGATTTAGTTGGGTGTACGATCTTATCGTAAATTGCCACCAGCGCCGCTGCTGGCACAAAATCTGCCACTCAAAGCGCCCCATCGTCGCGTTAATACTCAACGTAAAATCAGAAAAATTCTCAACAAGTCATAACGACAAAGATATTTACACAATCCGACAACGTTGACATGTGATAATAATAATAATAATGATGGTCATTTTGTATTCACGCAGGAAATCCCCGCAAAATAACATTTCCCCCCTCCCTGTTGATGATCGGCATGTCCGTGTACTGCACGCACAAGGACCCTTTGTTTACTGCACTGCTGGATGAGGGCCCTCCGTGTGCCTTGTCGGGAGGGCTTGGGGGGGTCACTTGACCGTACTTCACCGCGCTGGACAGTACGCGGCGCAGAGAGGGGTGGGGTGGGGGGGGGGGGGGGGGAGTCTCCGGGTCCGCAGGGTCTGATATCACTCCTTGCCACGCCGTGGTTGGGAAATCAAACTTGGGTCGCCGGGTTCACCACCACCACCACCACCACCCCCCCAGTCAATTATTCAATTTCACTGATCAAAATAACTCGGGCATTGGCAGCAGTGGCAAGGAAAATTTTAACAGGCACTCCTCCGACTCGCGGTTACGGATCCAAGCACTCTTGATTTATCGAGTGATTAGAACGGTGGGTAAAAGGGACATTGATATTAATGAAAATGAGCCGCCTATTTGGTCCTTAATGGCAGGGTTGATTTGACCATGAAGCGGGCGGTGATTGAACTTGGCACTTCCTAAGAGCCAGACTACCAATCACCGTCCGCTTCATGGTCAAATCAACCCTGCCATTAAGGACCAAATAGGAGGCTGCATTAGGACGGAGGGGGGGGGGGGGGGGGATCATTTTAGGCTGAGTAGACCTAGGGGAGGCCCATGATCAGTTCAGATAATTGTCACCGGTGTTAGCCGTGAACGGAAATCGAACTCGGGCCGCCGGGTTTGTAGCGCAGCGCGCTGACCGCTACACCAAAGACAAAGATCCCCCATATAGCCTGAACAGCCTGTTGGGGCAAGTGCTGTTAGAGAGCAACTACACCACACACAACCACGTGCACACCCGCTCGCGATGGGATGTTGATAACCAGGTCCGCCCCCCCCCACCCCCCCCCCCCCCCTCATTGCCGTGCCCCCGTGGGCCCCCAGGGTGAACGACTGCATCCTGCGGGTGAACGAGGTGGACGTGGTGGACGTGACGCACAGCCGCGCCGTGGAGGCCCTCAAGGAGGCCGGCTCCATCGTGCAGCTGTACGTGCGGCGACGTCGCTCCATGCGCGAGACCCTGGAGGAGATCAAGCTCATCAAGGGGCCCAAAGGTGGGCGGAGTGCGGCTGGAGGAAGGGAGCTCGTGGTCATCAACATTCCATCGTGGACTTTAGTGGGATTTTTATTTCCCCTAAACCGTTGACAAGAAAGTCCTCCAGAGAGCCCCTCGAGGGAGATTATATTGGGCTGCTTGGAGGAGAGGCGGGAGGGCGCCGCCGTGGCGAGATGTTAACTCCCTCGCCTGGTACGCAGGAGGTCGTGTGGGTTCGATCCAGACCCTGACACTGCCTGTTGCATGCGTGGAGTTTGCGCGTCTCTCTCTCTCTCCCCCGTGGTCGCGTGAATTTTTGTCTCCGGGTCCTGCGGTTTTTCCCCCCGCCCCATTTCGAATCAACGTCGCGCGTTTGGAGTATCCGGCTGAAGTAAATGTCCACACGACGACGACGACGATGATGATGAGACGCCCACCTCGTTGACCTTCTCAAAGAGAGCTACGCAGCAGCTGAGTGGTGGGGTTGCCTTGCAGCTGGTAAAGTAAAATAAATAAATAAAATAATCATAAAAAAAACCCCTTCTGACGTGGGCGTCGGAGACGGATGGTTAAGATGCAGAGGTCATTGCGGCCGAGGTCGTTCAGCGGAACGGCCGCGCCTCATCGCACGACGCTCCACATCGGGGATATTGGGGCCAGGCGGTCCTGAAAAATGTAACTTTTTTTTTTTTAAACAAGGGCCCCGTTGTCGTTGTACGCGTGCATGTGTGTACGCACGTTGGACTTCTTTCGCACGGTACGTAGCCAGCCGTGCTCATCGCGTGTGCTGGTGGAAGGTCAACACGAACTGCTTTTTTTGTACTCTTTGGTTCTATTCGGTAAAGTCACGTAGGTAAAAAAATAAAACAACAAAAATCACGACGTTTCGGCCACAACACAAGCGGCCTTCATCAGGTGAAGGGATCAGGCTGTCTCGAGGACAGCGCTGGAGTGGAACACAGCCACCACTCAGACCGCTGTCCTCGAGACAGCCTGATCCCTTCACCTGATAAAGGCCGCTTGTGTTGTGGCCGAAACGTCGTGATTTTTTTGTTTTATTTTTTAACCTACGTGACTTTACCGAATAGAACCAAAGAGTATGGATCCTTGCAGTCACGAAAGCTTCAAATCTAGAATTGCTTTTTTTGTGTCCTTCTTTCCACCCGCACCTCCGATTTGCACGGTCGGCTACGTACGGTGCGAAAGAAGTTCACCGTACGTACAGCACGGTGCAAAGAGGAATTGGGCTAGTGCTAGTGGCTGGCTGCATTAGTTGGTTATGGTAATGATCATTGGCACGGCTAATTCATTGAATCCATAGAGCTCATGCGAGTTGACCCCTAACCAAGATCATGGGCATGCGTGTCGGTGCGCGTGTAGCGGTTCACGCTACGCTGCGCTATGAACCCGGCGACACGGGTTCGATTCCCGCTCACGGCCAACACCAGTGACGATTATCTGAACCGGTTCCGGGCCTCCCCTAGGTCGACTCAGCCTCAAAGGAGTACCTGGTGCGGTGTGCAAACATCGCCACTGGGGAGACAAAGGCGGTCGGGCGTGGTGCTGGCCACCCACCCCCTCGTGTACCGTTCCGGCCTTCATAGTGTGCTCGCTAACAGCACTTGCCCCTGCAGTCTGTTAAGGCTACACGGGGGATCTTTGTTTGATTGCCTTTGTCTATTTTGTGCGCATGGGGAGTGGTGGCTCAGCGATTAGCGCGCTGCGCTACGAATCCGGCGACCCGAGTTCCATTTCCGCTCAACGGCCACCACCAAGTGACGATTGTCTGTGAACCGGTCCTGGGCTTCGCCGAAGTCATCTCGGCCTCAAAAACGAGTACCCGGAGCGATGTGTAGTAAACATCGCCACTGGGGAGACCAAGGTAGCCCGGCACGGTGCTGGCCACCCACCCCTTCGTGTACCATAGGTGCTGCTACTCGCTAGCAGCGCTTGCCCCAACGGTCTGTCGAGGCTGGACGGGGGGAGGGGATCCGCGTGTGTGCGCGTGCGTATGTGGGCACGTGCGCGCTTTGCCCCGTATCAATGCGCGCGTGCGCCGTTTGCTCTTCCTTTGGCCTCCAGGGCTGGGGTTCAGCATCGCGGGCGGCGTCGGGAACCAGCACGTTCCCGGCGACAACAGCATCTACGTGACGAAGATCATCGACGGTGGAGCGGCGCTGAAGGACGGGCGGCTCCAAGTGGGCGACAGGCTCCTGGCTGTGAGCGACCGCACCCCAACGCGCCCCCCCCCCCCCACCGCCTGCCCCTGCCCGCCCACCCCCCCCCCCCATCTATGGTGGGCGGGGCCCTACAGTAAAAAAAAATTAATACGTAAATATTAAAACACTAATTTTTTTTTTTACTTGCATAGTAAACTGATTGTACTTTTTCATTTGCTATACAGCTAGATAATTTTCCGAATTTGCAAAAAAAATGTCTCGCATTTTTTTTTTTTCGCCATGCCCCCTGGGATAGAGCGTTGCCCCCTCGCGCAAAACGTGGATTTTCTCCGTGCCGCCACATGCAAACACTCATTAGGTGGCCGATAACGCCTCGAAATATACAGAGGAACGCAGAGCTGGTGGCGGCATTTTCCGTCGGGTTCCCGTTCTCTCTCTCTCTCTCTTTCTCTCTGCTGCGAGAGAGCGCGAGAGAGAGAGAGAGAGAGACACCGGTACACGCGAGCGGACACCGCAGAACCGCCGCCGAGGCATTCCCTGCAAGCGACACGCTCGCTGCACTGCCGCTCGCCGAGAGAGCGACGCTCGCTGCGTCCGAGCGTCGCTCCGAAGCTTTTTTATCGCCGCGCGAATGCGTCGGCCGGCAAACGACGGTAACTCTACCTCGCCGCCGGCGCGAGTTTTTGAACGTCGACGTTCAATCGAGGCGGTGAGTGGAGGTGGTGGTGGGGGGGGGGTGGGGTGGGAGGAGGAAGCGGCGGCGGTCGCCGATCGACGCGTCCGCGTGTTCCCCCACCCGCCGACGGCCACCGACGCGCGCAGGTGAACAGCATGAGCCTGTCGGAGGTGACGCACGAGGACGCCGTGGGGACGCTGAAGAACACCTCAGATGTCGTCTACCTCAAGGTGGCCAAGCCCGTGGGCGTCTACACGAGCGACTCCTACGGGAGCCCCCCCGACGTCGCCAGCAGCTGTGAGTGCGGTCTGCCGGCGCGCGTGCGGTCGCGCGTACGCTCAGCCGCGCGTAACGCGCAATCACAACACACGCGGTCGCGTGCACACGCACAACCCGTACGCGCGCATACGCATGCCTGGACGCGCGCGGTCGCACGCACGCCAAGTGCCGCGCCGCAACCCCGGGACCTCACCGGCACTTGCACCGGCGCTCACCAGTACGACCGCCCCCGACCGCTCACTTTGCAAACTTCTGCGGATCGCTGCATGTGACCTCAGGGCCACACTCGGGCGCATTTGTGAGCTCAGTCATTGTGTACGTGGTGGTGTAAGCGGTGAGCACTTCGCCACGGACCCGGCGACCCGAGTTCGACTCAGGCTCACGGCCACCGACATCAGTGAGGATTATCTGAACCGGTCCAAGGCCTCCGCTAGGTCGATAGGGCATCAAATGAGTACAATGGTGCACGTGTGCAAACATCGCCACTGGGGAGACGAAGGCGGCCGGGCGTGGCGCTGGACACCCACACCCCCTCGTGTGGCGTGCCGGCCTTCATACCTGCTGCTCGCTAACAGCACTTGCCCCGACAGTCCGCTAAGGCTACACGGGGGATCTTTAGCTTTGTGCGGGCGTGCGTGTGACGGTGAGTCAGCCGTTGGCTGAATCACCGTCACACACTCGTCCCACGCGTTCACCCGCTCGTCCCACCCCCCCCCCCTTCCCAAGCCCGCTCACCCACATCGGCGCGTTCACCCGCACATATCACGGTCGCGATGGGCGTCGAGGTTAAGCCGGTGTAGGTGGCGCAGGGCGGTCGTGCATGTTGGTGGAAAGTAGCTCGGAGCAATAACGACGATGACGTCCCTCATTAGCTCAAGAAAGCCTCGATGAGGAGCCTCTTAGGGACTCGTTTTTTCGGGAGAGAGTTTTTGAAGTCGGTTCGTTACGGCCACTTTCGTCGATGAACTTTTTTTGACTTTTGTAACCGGAGGAATCCGGAACCCTCAAAGAGGATGAAAATCCATCACTCATACAGGGAGGAGTAAGGGAGGATGGGGGGGGGGGGGTAACACTCAAAGCACCACATAGATGGATTGAAGAATCCATCTATGCGGTGCTGCAGTGCAATCTCATCGCATCCTCGCCAAAGGCTGCAACACCTCGTATTCCCAGGCAAGTCACCTGGAAACCCGGGCACTAGCCAGGCTCACTCACTGCCCTGCTTCGCTTATCACGTTTGACGAGATCGGTCGCGTTCGGCGAGTCGCGGCCCAAGGCTTTGCTTTGCTCTGTAAAAACAAAAATTCCAACATTTTTTGTTCTCCAAATTTTTAAAAATATTTTTTTGTGCGGATCCGCAACAGCGGGGGAAGCTGAAGGCACCGGCTGACGGACGCGGTCAAAGGGCCCAGATTCCCAAACCTCATGAAATGGTCCGATAAGGTGCTTGCCCGCTTGTTTTTTCGACGGAGACATCGGCCCACCTATATATCGAAATCGGCTCAAGGCTTCCCGCCAATCACGTGGCTCTGAAAGCCTCCCCCTCTGCCCGCCACCCCCTGTGTAAGCTTGCGCTAAGCGAGCGTGCGCTTCCTTGTGATGGAGACATCGGCCCATCCTTATGTCGAAATCAGCTCAAAGGCCCCCACCGTAAATCACGTTACTTTACCCCCCCCCCCCCCACCCACCCTCTTACCGCCATCCCAGCCCCCCCCCCCCCACACTCTGAATGCCTTCCCTCTCCCCGCTCACCCCCTTGCATCTGCCTGCGCTAAGCGAGCGTGCACTTTGCTGTGATGGAGACATTGGCCCGTCCGTATGTATCGACGTCGGCTCAAAGCCTCTCGTAAATCGCGTGGCTCCCCCCTTCCCCACTAACCACACTCTGAATGCCTCCTCTCTCCCTGCTAGTACCCCCCCCCCCCATCCCCCCCCCCACCCCCCGTGTAAGGCACATTTGGAAACACGCGCTTAGACTATTTTAGGTTATTTTTCTGCAGTAAATGTTCGACTGATAAGCCACTTTGTTGAGCGATCTATTGTGTCCAGGCCGCCTGATGACGACTGCTTGTGTCGCGATCGAAACGTCGTGATTTGTTTTATTTGATTTGATTTTCTACCCACGTGACTTTACCGAAAGAACCAAAGAGTATGGATTCCTGCGGTCACGAAAGCTTCAAATCAAAATAAGTTAATACCGCAGTGGGCTTTGTCTGGTAGGATGGGGATGGTTTTGTTGTTTTTGTTTGCTTTTGGGCGATTTGTTTATACTCTTTGGTTCTATTCGGTAAAGTCACGTAGGTAAAAATAAAATAACAAAAAATCACGACGTTTTGTTTATCTTGTACTCCGCACTCCTATCGTGTTCTTGCACTGCTTGCTGTTCTAACGTTCTTACCCCATGTCCCGACTGGACATCGGTGGAAAACAAAGAGCTTTACAGCTCATCGGATTCCTCCTGCAGTATGAATAACCGTTTCCGATTCTGAAGCCTGCGCTAATAAGCAAGCGAGTGGGCGAGCGTGCTCGCTCGGGAAGCTGTTGGCGACATTAGCCCCCCGAGAATGCCGCCGCCGCCGCCGCCGCCGCCGCGAGTATTCCCGGAATTCTGCGCAAACCCGCCCACGAGGTGCCTCCGATTGGTCCTGCATCACGAGCGCGTTTGAGGCCGTGCGGAGCGGTCAAAGTGGCGCTTTCACGTTGCGTCTGAGCGGAGTCATGTGATTTGGCTTTTGAACGAGCGGGGGGTGGGGGGGGGGGCATTAGAATGCAAACGAGTTTAAACTATTTGTTTACCGGGAAATGTTTTATTTTTTTTTTGACCACGAAAGGCCTCACTGAGCTATGTAGTTCTGTTTTTCAGAAGCAACCTGGCTACCACAAACGATAGCTTGGCGAAGTGGCTCATCATCACGTGGACATTGATAGCAAGCCAGATACTCGAAACACGGGGCGCCACGGTGGCTAGGAGATGTTAACTACCTCGCCTGGTACGCAGGAGATCGTGGGTTCGATCCTGACCCTGACGCCTGCTGCTGTATATTTCCCCCCGGCTTCTCTGGTTTTTCCCTCCACATTTAGAGACGTGCGTGCAGAGTATTTGGCCGCTGTACATTTCCACGTGATAAGCCACTTCGCTGAGCTATCATTCGTGGCCAGGTCACTTCTGAAAAAGAGCTATGTAGCTCAAGTGGGCCTTGCCTAGTAGTTTAGTTTAGCATGTTGCATCTAAACGTGGAGGGATAAAACCGGAGGACCTGGATAGAAATCCACGCGACCACGGGGAGCGAGAAAGAGACACGCAAACTCCAAATATACAGCCGGCAGCGTCAGGGCCCGAAATCGAACCTACGACCTCCTGCATACCAGGCGAGGTAGTTATAACATCTTGCACCGATATGGGGAGGGAGAAAACACACCCAGCGGCAAGTTGCAAGTAACGGCTTTGGGTAAAACGAGCCGGCTCAAAGCTTAACACTCGACTGCACAAGTCGAACACGTCGCGGATTTCCTAGGTTTAGGGTTGCATTACATAGATTGTGCCAGATACATTTTACCGTGGCCCTGGCCCCAACATAATTCACAGGCCAGTGGAGAGAGAGAGCAGAATAATTAATGTAAAGGGGGTGGTTGTCCAGATGTCTTGTGACCCCACCCAGAATTGCCCCCGACCCATCACCCACCCCTCTGCATATTAATTTATGTTTGAAATAATCCTAACTTTAATCGTGTGTTTTTAAAATTAAGTTTTAAAGAAGTAAACGGGGGACGAGGGGGGGTCACAAGACATCTGGACCACCACGTACAGGTGGAGATTGAGGCCTGAAAGCAGGGGCCTAATTCTGGCGGTGACTCTGCTGTCGTAGCAGCTGAATGACACTCTGGCCTTGATTGGAATATTAAATATATATCCTCTTTGGATAGGTTTTTTTATTTTATTTTCTACCTACGTGACTTTACCGAAAGAACCAAAGAGTATGGATTCCTGCAGTCACGAAAGCTTCAAATCAAGATTAAATATCTATCTATCACAGGCGACGTTCTTGGCGTCGGCTCTTCTGCACTGCACACAAACAGAGAGGCCGGAGAGAGAGAGAGTGGAAAGTAAGGGTTGGACACTGCCCTTGTCTTCACCACGGGGCCTGATGAAAATTTTATTTTGTAATGTTTTATGATGACCAGTTTTAGGTTTTATTTAATGATTAAATTGGCATCTTAATCGTTAGAAATAAACAGGAAAAAAATGGACGAACAAACACCATTCAATTATCAGTGAAGTAAAATCAATCATCAACTGTACTGTAAATTTTGTTTTAATGTCGTATACAGGGACTCCTCTAGCTATGAACATTCGACTTACGAACTTTCAGAGATACAAACAACCCGTTTGTATGTCCAGTTGTCGGTTTGGACCGAGAGTCGTAAGTTCAACCGCCGATAGGTGGCGGTGATCACATCTACATCTGCAGAACATGAAGAACCAGTGGCATCTACATCTGCAGAACATGAAGAATCAGTGGCATCGACATCTACAGAACGTGAAGAACCAGTGGCATCTACATCTGCAGAACATGAAGAACCAGTGGCATCTACATCTGCAGAACATGAAGAACCAGTGGCATCGACATCTACAGAACGTGAAGAACCAGTGGCATCTACATCTGCAGAACATGAAGAACCAGTGGCATCTACATCTGCAAGAACATGAAGAACCAGCGGCATCTACATCTGCAGAACATGAAGAACCAGTGGCATCTACATCTGCAGAATATGAAGAACCAGTGGCATCTACATATGCAGAACGTGAAGAACCAGTGGCATCTACATCTGCAGAACATGAAGAACCAGTGGCATCTACATCTGCAGAACATGAAGAACCAGTGGCATCTACATCTGCAGAACATGAAGAACCAGTGGCAGCTACATCTGTAGAACGTGAAGAACCAGTGGCATCTACATATGCAGAACGTGAAGAACCAGTGGCATCTACATCTGCAGATCGTGAAGAACCAGTGGCATCTACATCTGCAAGAATGTGAAGAACCAGTGGCATCTACATCTACAGAACGTGAAGAACCAGTGGCATCTACATCTGTAGAACGTGAAGAACCAGTGGCATCTACATCTGCAGGCTCTTGCCAAGAACATCCGCTAAAACCGGCAGCAGTTTGGTGAAGAATCCTGATACTGCTGATGGGACCCATAAGGGTCAAAACTGGCCCAGAGTTTTATTCGCCTCAACAGTTTTTTTGGGGGGTTAGATCGCGTAAATATATTAATGTGTCTATACTCTTTGGTTCTATTCGGTAAAGTCACGTAGGTAAAACATAAAACAACAAAAATCACGACGTTTCGGCCACAACACAAGCGGCCTTCATCAGGTGAAGGGATCAGGCTGTCTCGAGGACAGCGCTGGAGTGAAACACAGCCACGCTCAGACCGCGACCTTTAAGCTGTGTGCGAGGAAACAAGGTGCCTTGACAAATGAATTAGCATAAAAAATTAGCGTTTGATTGGCCGACTGAGCATAGAGGTGGTGTACATGCGGGTGCACATGCCGGTTGGCGCGGGGGGGGGGGGGGGAGTTAACCTATTGGTGGTGTGAAAAGGGAATTTTTAAGAGCTGCGAAAGTTTGGGGTACCACTACTTGAAAAATATACTGTACCATTGAAAATTAGTTTAATGTTTGGTTCGATTTAGAACATCTTTCCAATGGTTGCTTAATTTGAAACCATCTTCTCGGTTGAAATTGTGTCTGTGTTTGTAGATCTGAATTGCCTCGTGAACAAATCTCTGAAAAAACCCGTGGGTTTGCAAAGAACCTTGGTATCGGAGAAAATTATATCGTGATCACCCACAGCGTTGTAACAGTGATCAGCTACGGCAGAAGAATTCGTTTTGCCGTGTTTCAAATCTGATTTGTGCTCGCGAATTCGGTCAGAGACATGTCGCTTTGTCTCCCCGATATAGCAATCACTGCAGGTACAACTCAATTTGTAAACCCCGGGGTACTGTAAGTCAGGAATGACATCCTTCATGGATGGGATCAGATCACGAATTTTGTGTACTGTATTGAACCGGACCTGGATCTTGTGTTTGTTTAGAATTTTGGAAATCTTTTTAGTAACGCCTGCTATATATGGTAGTGTGATGGTTTTGACCGGAGTATCAAGTGGTTGTTTCGGTATGGAGGGAGAAACAGTTTGGCGGATGGTACGGTCAGAGTATCCATTCCTTTTTTGTGTCGTCAAGCCCGCCACCACCCGACACGGCCAAATTAGTAAGGTGTATAGTGTAGTGTATCGTGTAGTGTATCGTGCAGTGTACTAGTACAGCAACACCGGTGTGTTGGAGAGCCAAGCCACGACATTTACAATCTGAGTACCAGACGTTTCCCCAGGCGACAGCCAGAAAAAAACCCCGTATTATGAATAAGTGTTGACAATCGTTGCCGAATAATGTTGGTCTGGAACGCAAACGGAGGCCAGGTGGACTGAAAATAATTAACTAAAATGTTTTTACACGTTGAGACACGGACCAGAGTTACTGCGTCTGTGAAGTGCAAACGTTTGGTCGGTCAGTGGGTTTTTGGGGGTTTGCACCTTCTGTGGCCGTCTGGAACGCTCTTCCTTCCGATATTAGGAAGCCACTGGAACTGTCCACTTATAAATTGTCGAGATCTAAAAACAATTCTTTTCAAACTGCTTTTTTGGTGTGTTAAGTTTGTTATCCTACCCTCCGTATCTCCGATTAGCTCGGTTGGCTACGTACGGTGCGAAAGACGTACAACGTTCATTAACAGTGGGGGGGGGGATAAGTGGCATGAAAGGGTTACACACAACACAGAACAACAACACAGAACAACAACACAGAACAACAACAATACCACAGAACAACACAGAACAACAACACAGAACACAGAACAACACAGAACAATAACAACACAGAACAACACCACAGAACAACAACACGAAACAACACAGAACAACACAGAACAATAACAACACAGAACAACAACACAGAACAACACCACAGAACAATAACAACAAAGAACAACACCACAGAACAACACAGAACAATAACACAGAACACAGAACAATAACAACACAGAACAACACCACAGAACAACAACACGGAACAACACAGAACAACAACACAGAACAACAACACAACAATAACAACACATAACAACAACAATACCACAGAACAACACAGAACAACGACACAGAACAATAACAACACAGAACAACACCACAGAACAACAACACAGAACAACAACACGGAACAACACAGAACAATAACAACACAGAACAACAACACAGAACAATAACAACACAGAACAACACCACAGAACAACAACACGGAACAACACAGAACAATAACAACACAGAACAACAACAATACCACAGAACAACACAGAACAACACAGAACAACAACACAGAACAATAACAACACAGAAAAACAACACAGAACAACACCACAGAACAACAACACCACAGAACAACAACACCACAGAACAATAACAACACACAACAACAACACCACAGAACAACAACACGGAACACCACAGAACAACACCACAGAACAATAACACAGAACAACACCACAGAACAACACGGAACACCACAGAACAACACCACAGAACAATAACACAGAACAACAACAACACGGAACAACAACACTCGACGTACATTGCTGCACCTGCATGGACTTTGATCCGCTTGAGTGTTTTTTTTCACAACGAGCGTTCAACCATTTGTTGTTCAAGACGCCATAAAACAAAAGCGAGGAGAGTGAAGACGGGAGGGGAGGTGGCTGGGAAACCACTTACTTAATTAAATACCCGCTTAGTGAAAGTTTACCGTTGCCTAAATGGTTTCGCACAAAACATATATAAATATAAACCCACCCCAACCACGCGTAACACCACGGTTTACTTGATTGTCACTCACCACCCCCCACCACCACCACCCCCCACCACCACCACCCCCCCACCACCACCACCCCCCACCACCACCACCCCCCACCACCACCACCCCCCACCACCACCACCCCCCCCACCACCACCACCACCCCCCACCACCACCACCCCCCACCACCCCCCACAACCACCACCCCCCTCACCACCACCACCACCATCCCCCCACCAACACCCACCACCCCCCCCACCAACAGCACCCCCTCCCCACCATCACCCCACCCCCCCCACCACCCCCCCCCACCCCCCCCCCCCACCACCCCCCCACCACCCCCCCCCCCCCCCCCCCCACCACCACCACCCCCGCCACCACCACCACCCGCCCCCCCACCCGCCCCACCACCCCCCCCCCCACCCGCACCCCCCACCCCCCCCCACCACCACCCCCCACCACCACCACCCCCCCCCCCACCACCCACCCCACCCACCACACCACCCTCACCCCCACCACCACCCCCCCCACCACCATCCCCCCCACCATCACCCCCACCACCACCACCACCACCCCCCCACCACCACCCCCCCACCACCACCCCCCCCCACTACCACCCCCCCCCCACCACCACCCCCCCCCCACCACCACCACCCCCCACCACCACCACCCCCCACCACCACCACCCCCCACCACCCCCCCACCACCACCACCCCCCTCACCACCACCACCCCCCCACCACACCCACCACCCCCCCCACCAACACCACCCCCTCCCCACCATCCCCCCACCCCCACCCCCCCACCCCACCCCCACCCCCCCCCCCCCCACCCCCACCCCCCCCACCCCCACCACCCCCCCCCCCAACCCCCCCACCACCCCCCCCCCACCCCCCACCACCACCACCACAACCACCACCCCCCCCACCCCCCCCCCCCCACCACCACCCCCCCCACCACCACCCCCCCCACCACCACCCCCCCCCCACCACCACCACCCCCCCCACCACCACCCCCCCCCCCCCACCACCCCCCCCCCCCCACCACCACCACCCCCCACCACCCCCCCCCACCCCCCCCCCCCCCACCACCCCCCCCCCCACCACCAACCCCCCCACCACCACCCCCCCCACCACCCCCCCCCCCCCACCACCACCCCCCCCACCACCCCCCCCCCCACCACCACCCCCCCCCCACCACCACCCCCCCCCCACCACCTCCTCTTTGCCCCGTACACTCGGAGTGACAATTCCGGTTAGACCGGTCTTGCGTGTCGCGCCGCGTTCCTGCGGGCCCAGGCGGCGACTCCTCGTGCTGCTGCTGCTGCTGCCTCCGTTGTCGCCGCCCGTGATGACATTGGCGCTCAGAGTGTCGCTGTGCTGTCTAAATTAGATTCTCGTCGTCGTCTGTTCCTCCACCACCACCCTTCTCCTCTTCCCTCCCTCCCTACCTCCTCCTCCGCTGCTGCTGCTGCTGCTCGCTTGCCGCAGCAGCGTACTCTCAGTCCTTAGACAACCACGTGGGTCCCGGCTCCAACTACATGGGCAGCCCAGAGTACAAGAGCGCCCTTCCTCCCCCCTCGCCCGGACGATACTCGCCCATCTCCTTCTCCAAGCAGTCCATGATGGACGACGAGCACACGCGGTGAGGGTGGCACGCGCGGCACGCGCTCACTCACTGGAACACTCGTCCACCCACTCACTGGCACACTCGTCCACCCACTCACTCACTGGCACACTCGTCCACCCACTCACTCACTGGCACACTCGTCCACCCACTCACTCACTCACTGGCACACTCCCCCACCCACTCTCTCACTCACTGGCACACTCCCCCACCCACTCACTCACTGGCACACTCCCCCACCCACTCTCTCACTCACTGGCACACTCGTCCACCCACTCACTCACTGGCACACGCGTCCACCCACTCTCTCACTCACTGGCACACTCGTCCACCCACTCACTCACTGGCACACTCCCCCACCCACTCTCTCACTCACTGGCATACTCGTTCACCCGCTCACTCACTGGCACACTCGTCCACCCACTCACTCACAGGCACACTCCCCCACCCACTCACTCACTGGCACACTCGTCCACACACTCACTCACTGGCACACTCGTCCACCCACTCTCTCACTCACTGGCACACTCCCCCACCCACTCACTCACTGGCACACTCCCCCACCCACTCTCTCACTCACTGGCACACTCGTCCACCCACTCACTGGCACACTCCCCCACCCACTCTCTCACTCACTGGCACACTCCCCCACCCACTCTCTCACTCACTGGCATACTCGTTCACCCGCTCACTCACTGGCACACTCCCCCACCCACTCTCTCACTCACTGGCACACTCCCCCACCCACTCTCTCACTCACTGGCACACTCCCCCACCCACTCTCTCACTCACTGGCACACTCGTCCACCCACTCACTCACTGGCACACTCCCCCACCCACTCTCTCACTCACTGGCACACTCGTCCACCCACTCACTCACTGGCACATTCGTCCACCCACTCTCTCACTCACTGGCACACTCGTCCACCCACTCACTCACTGGCACACTCCCCCACCCACTCTCTCACTCACTGGCACACTCGTCCACCCACTCACTCACTGGCACACTCCCCCACCCACTCTCTCACTGGCACACTCCCCCACCCACTCTCTCACTGGCACACTCGTCCACCCACTCACTCACTGGCACACTCCCCCACCCACTCACTGGCACACTCCCCCACCCACTCTCTCACTCACTGGCACACTCGTCCACCCACCCACTCACTGGCACACTCCCCCACCCACTCACTGGCACACTCCCCCACCCACTCTCTCACTCACTGGCACACTCCCCCACCCACTCACTCACTCACTGGCACACTCCCCCACCCACTCACTCACTGGCACACTCGTCCACCCACTCACTCACTGGCACACTCCCCCACCCACTCACTCACTGGCACACTCGACCACTCACTCACTGACACACTTGTCCACCCACTCACTGGCACACTCGTCCACCCACTCACTCACTGGCACACTCCCCCACCCGCTCTCTCACTCGCTGGCACATTCACCCACTCACTCACTGGCACACTCGTCCACCCACTCACTCACAGGCACACTCGTCCACTCACTCACTCACTGGCACACTTGCCCACCCACCCACTCACTCGATGGCACACTCGTCCACCCACTCACTCACTGGCACACTCGTCCACTCACTCACTCACTGGCACACGCGTCCACCCACTCACTCACTGGCACACTCCCCCACCCACTCACTCACTCACTGGCACACGCGTCCACCCACTCACTTACTGGCACACTCCCCCACCCACTCTCTCAGTCACTGGCACACTCGTCCACCCACTCACTCACTGGCACACTCCCCCACCCACTCTCTCACTCACTGGCACACTCGTCCACCCACTCTCTCACTCACTGGCACACTCGTCCACCCACTCAATCACTGGCACACTCGTCCACCCACTCACTCACTGGCACACTCCCCCACCCACTCTCTCACTCACTGGCACACTCGTCCACCCACTCACTCACTGGCACACTCGTCCACCCACTCACTCACTGGCACACTCGTCCGCCCGCTCACTCACTGGCACACTTGCCCACCCACCCACTCACTGGCACACTCTTCCACCCACTCACTCACTGACACACTCGTCCACCCACTGACTGGCACACTCGTCCACCCACTCACTCACTGGCACACTCGCCCACCCACTCACTCACTGGCTGGCACACTCGTCCACTCTCTCACTCACTGGCACACTTTTCCACTCACTCACTGGCACACTCGTCCACCCACTCTCTCACTGGCACCCTTTTCCACGCACTCACTCACTGGCACACTCGTCCACCCACTCACTCACTGGCACACTCGTCCACCCGCTCACTCACTGGCACACTCGTCCACCCACTCACTCACTGGCACACTCCCCCACCCACTCACTCACTCACTGGCACACGCGTCCACTCTCTCACTCACTGGCACACTCGTCCACCCACTCACTCACTGGCACACTCGTCCACCCGCTCGCTCACTGGCACACTCGTCCACCCACTCACTCACTGGCACACTCGTCCACCCACTCACTCACTGGCACACTCGTCAACCCACTCACTCACTGGCACACTCGTTCACTCACTCACTCACTGGCACACTCGTCCACCCACTCACTCACTGGCACACTCGTCCACTCACTCACTCACTGGCACACTTGTCCACCCGCTCACTCACTGGCACACTCGTCCACCCACTCACTCACTGGCACACTCGTCCACTCTCTCACTCACTGGCACACTCGCTCACTCACTGGCACACTCGTCCACCCACTCACTGGCACATTCGTCCACCCACTCACTTACTGGCACACTCGTCCACCCACTCACTCACTGGCACACTCGTCCACTCACTCACTCACTGGCACACTCGTTCACTCACTCACTCACTGGCACACTCCCCCACCCACTCACTCACTGGCACACTCGTCCACCCATTCACTCACTGGCACACTCGCTCACTCACTGGCACACTCGCTCACTCACTGGCACACTCGCTCACTCACTGGCACACTCGCCCACCCACTCACTCATTGGCACACTCGTCCACCCATTCACTCACTGGCACACTCGTCCACCCACTCACTCGATGGCACACTCATCCACCCACTCACTGGCACACTCGTCCACCCACTCACTCACTGGCACACTCGTCCACCCACTCACTCACTGGCACACTCGTCCACCCACTCACTTACTGGCACACTCCCCCACCCACTCTCTCACTCGCTGGCACATTCACCCACTCACCCACTCGCTGGCACATTCGCCCACCCACTCACTCACTGGCACACTCGTCCACTCTCTCACTCACTGGCACACTCCCCCACCCACTCTCTCACTCGCTGGCACATTCACCCACTCACCCACTCGCTGGCACATTCGTCCACCCACTCACTCACTGGCACACTCGTCCACCCACTCACTCACTGGCACACTCGTCCACCCACTCACTCACTGGCACACTCCCCCACCCACTCTCTCACTCGCTGGCACATTCACCCACTCACCTCACTCGCTGGCACATTCGCCCACCCGGTCACCCGCTCGCTCGTCACGCCTTGGCTCGTTCTCTCCTCGCCCGCTCGCTCCACCGCCTCCTCCTCCTCCTGCCCCTGTGCTCTGTTCACGCGCTTCAAAGAGTGCGTACGCGCAAACCATCCACGAGAACTGCGGTCATGCTCGCAGCGGTTGCTGGCCATCGATCCAAGGCGGTCACTGCCACGGCGCCCCTTTCAGGCGCGCTTCTGTGGCCGTCTGGAACGCTCTCTTCCTTCTGATATTAGGAAGCCACTGGGAGTTGTGCACTTTAAAAAAAAATCATCTTCTCGACTGACAAACTCATTCCTTTAGAACTGCCTGCTGCCGTTTACTTTGTCCTTCCCCCCTCGCACCTGCGATTAGCGCGGTTGGCTGCGTGCGGTGCGTAAGAAGTTCACGCACAGCATCATCGCCGCGAGGGGGTCTGCCACCTCCTGAGACGCGTAAAACCGGAACGTGTCACGGGCAGAAGACAATTGAAGAGTATCTCACAATTCTGGGGGGGGTGGGGTGGGGGTGGTGGAGAGCTACATTGGGAATGAGTGCCCTATCACAACGATTGTCATTATTGTAATTGTTGTAACTGTGTCAGAAACCGAGACGTTTAATGTCCCATGAAGGCTCCGAGAGGAGCGGGGACGGACCTTGGGGGGAAAAAAAAAAAACAGCACAGTTGGCAACCCGATTGATCACGTACAGTTTCCTACTCGTCATCCCGACCGATTTAACCTACGGGCTTTTTAACGTTTCACCGCGTGCATGATTGTCGGACGCTTCGTTTTCATGCAATTTCGTCGGGTTTTCAGTGCGTGCGTTTGCGGCGGCGATGGCGAAACTACGAAACCCCCATCGAGCCGGGTTTCGATTCCCAGGCCGACGCCGGCGACGATTACCTGAACGGGCCCTGGGCCTCCCCTAGGTCGACTCGGCCTCAAATGAGTACCTGGGTGCGGTGTGTAGTTAAACATCGCCAATGGGGAGACAAAGGCGGCCGGGCGTGGTGCTGGCCACCACGACCTTCTCGTGTGCGCACAGTGCCGGCCTTTCGTAGGTGCTACGCGCTAACAGCACTTGTCCCCGGCAAATCTGTTTCGGCTGCGGAGGGTATTTGTCTCCGTGTTGCTCGTTCTCGAGGCACAAAGAGGCCCCGTTGTTGGAACCGCGCGGTTGCCACCGTAGAATTTAACGGAGCAAATGGACAAACACCACAGCTGCCGCCAACCGGCACGGTTTATACCCCGTAAGTCTTGTACAGGGAGATTGAGTTTTCGGGGACATACGGCGTCACAGCCGTTTCAATACGGGCATTTAAAAAAAAAACGCGTCTATTTGTTTGTGTTTCTCCCTTTTGATGGGACTTTGTAGGATGAACGTTGAGATTTGTAAGGATACGGGGTGACCGATAAGGTCTGAAGGTAGGGCACTGATAAGGGGTTGACAGGTATGGACAAAGATTGCGCACACAGTCGAGTGCTTGACCTCAAAGTAACATAGCCTTGGCAAGCATGCGT